CACCTCGGATGGATGGAAGGTTGAGTCAACCCTGAGCCGGTGAGATTTGAACCACCGAACTGCCGAACTAGCAGTCAGCTGAAGTGGCCTGCAGTACTGCACTCTACCCACTGCGCCACCTCGGCTCTTAACCCTTGTTACATTGTAACAGCTAATGCAAAGCGCCCATAGACCTGAGTGACCTTGAGTTGGCCATGCCCACCCAGTCACATGACCACCAAGCCACACCTACCTAGCTGGTCATTAGGACAGAGAACCGGTTGTTAAATTATTTGAATCCCACCACTGGTGAGTAGTGGGCTCCTGCTGGGTGGGGCTGTCGGTGGCGCTGCTGCGAGGTGAGTTAGTAATTAGACTCCTCTCGAAAAGAAGCCCTAGGGTCAAAAGAAAATAAGACCGAGTCTTCTTTTTGGGGAAACACCGTAGTGATTGAACGACGACATTTAGAATGATGTGAGCAGATGTTCTCAAGGAGCCCGGTCACCTAGAAACTGATGGATCCGCTTTCAGAAAGAGCTTTTCACAATTATTCAGTCTTTTGAAAGAGGGATCTTCAGATTGTTCTGAAATTGTTCACTTATTCTCCAGAGAAATTAGTTTCATATTAGTTTGGCTGGGCTGACTCTGAATCCTACAGAGCAAGTAGTTCAAGAACGTAAAGATTTCCCCCCCCCCCAATATTCCTCCTAATAAAACAGATTGAAGTATTTTATTTTTTAATAACTGTTCAGATTTACACAACACATAACCTTGGGGGGGAAAAATGTATACCCTGAGAAGGCATTAGAGATATTTTATTAGTTTCATTATTTCCCCAAATGGCAAGAGTTTCATCCTTAAGTAAGATCAACTGTTTTCAATAGGAAAACTCCAAACCACGCGTATTGATTTCCCAGGCTCCAGTTAACCAGACATTCCGAATACTGACTTTTTAGATGGTGATATTAAATATTTTAGTGCATTACTGCCACATAGCTAGAAATTAAGCTGGCTGTTTGCAGGAGGAAAATGTGTAGCCCATAATCTGCTGTGGGTAGCACATGTCGCTTTGTCACAATTCAGTTATGAGGGAAGAGGAATGTTTGGTTGCGTTAGGGTTGTAGAGTTGTAGAGAATGTTATTATTTTTGCCTTAATAACTTCCTTTTTCATTGATTTGGTAATAAAATGCAGATTTTAATACATATTTTTGTTTCTTGGGGGGAAAAAAAAAACCCAAAGCTGTTCACTGTTTTAAAGAGCTCTGCGGAAAACGGGATCATTGTATGTAGCATTTACCAAATGTGGAGTTCAGATCTGTTCTTTCTCTCTCCCCCCCCCCCCCCCCGCTCCTCCTGTGAGAGAGATCAGGACAGCTTGATAAAACCAAAGCCAAGTCAATCTTGCGTTAAACTAAACATGACATCTTTGGAAATTGGCCGTGGGCTCTGCGTTTGTTGTGAGCAGCCAAAGCAGAATAAGGCGAGATCAGTTGCTGAGGGCTGATGCCTTCGCAGAATATGCTGTAATATCTTTTTTCATGGGCAAATCACACATCAACACAGGAAAAACTCCCGCTAGTCTTTAGTGAAATTCACCCCCCATAAGACAAGATTTCCCAACCGTGGCAATTTCCGTGTGTGTGTGTGTGTGTGTCCCAGAATTCCACAGCCAGCATAACTGGCTGGGGAATTCTGGGAGTTGAAGTCCACCCATCTTCAAGTGACTAAGGCTGAGAAACACTGAAGTGATTGATTGATTGATTGATTGATTGATTGATTGATTNCGCTGCTGATGACGTCACATACGAGCTTTAATCGGGCGCGCTTTAGTGGACCGCGGTTTTGTCGTGCCACACCTTCGCGTCTTCAGGTGAAGCTTCCTGCAGACCTCTGCCTCACCTCAGCATCCCAGCCTCTCTGCTCCGCCTCGGCTAGTGACGGCAGATTAAATGGGGATCTTTCAAGGACACATCTGTGCCTCAGCAGCCCAGAAAGGAAGCGAAAAACAGAGGTGCCCTTGATTGAGGAATGCCCGGAGCAGAATGTCTGAAGTCCAACCTTTAACCACATTAGTTACGTACACAAGTTCACACCTATTTTTTACCCCTGACAAATTAAACTGAAATAACACCTTCTGTTGGCTTTGAGCACCACAGTGAGAGAGAGAACATGGCTAGTGTTGTTGTTTTTTAAATGCTGCTATGTTCTCAATTATTAGCCAGAGGCTGTGCTGGCTGGAGAATTCTGGGAGTTGAAGTCCACAAGTCTTAAAAGTTGTCAAGTTTGAAGGCCTCTGTATTAGGTTAAAAAAAATATGGCGTAATGGGAAGATCTTTTGCCTCTTCCAATATCTGCTACGCGTGGAATCTAAAACTGCATTACTATCATCAGCTCCAAGCTGGAAAGTGATAATTAAAAATGAGGTGCATGTGTCATGCTAAGTAGGGTTTGCCTCCCTGCTGGAGCAAGTACTGACAGGGTGAAAGAGGGGGGTAAAAACCACCTCTTAATTACTCTTTGGCCATGCGAGGGAGGGTGAATGCGGCAGGGATCTCAGATGCTATGCTAAGCCATGCTTGATTGCTATTTGGAGGGGAGATCTGAGCCTCAGAAAAAGGCAACATCATCTTGCTTCTCTGACGTTGCAAGAAAATTCCAGGGATGTATTCCCCAAAAGTCATGCTCGGCTTAAGGAGTCCGAGCAACTGATCACATGGCACATGACTTTCCTACCTCAGAGTAAAAATGTGCATGGATGAATGGTGGTAAATACAATTCCCTGTTTTTCTTAAGGGTAGAATAATCTGGCTTTTCCACATGAGGTTCTCTCCAATAAAGGAGAATATTCGTAGCTGAGGGTTGAAATGAGGGGTCCTTGGTGCTCTCTGACAACCAAACTCAGGAAGCACCAAGATTTTTTTTCCCTCCAAATGTGGTGAAATTTCCTAATTCCTCCGTGCATCGCTGGGAGTTTCAAATGGCAAACCCAGGACTGTTTTGTCACAGCACATGCCCTTAAAATACTCCATGCTTAATGACTTTGTCCCTCAGGCCTGCTGATGAAATGCATTGCTCGGTTACACAATGTGTAGTTCCAGATTGCTGTGAGGTCCAAAGAGCACTCTTCAGCAGGCAGAGTAGACAAAATGAGGCCCCTTAATGAAAATGGGCATTTGGGTCGGCCCAATTATTTTATACGCACTCCAGATGCCAAATAAGCCAGAGCAGCTTTCAAGGCCACGAGAGGAAGTGCCTCAAGATAGATAGAACGTGGACTAAGGTGTTTCCAAATTGGCTCCAGTGCTCATAAACCAGATGGGTCCCATGATCCCATAGCCCAGTACTCATAACCATCAAGGACAAGAGAAATTGTAATCAACCTTTAAAAAGACATTACAGAGCAGAGGTCTTCAAACTTGGCAACTTTAAGGCTTGTGGACTAATGCGCTCTACTTGGGGCTGCCCCTGAAAAGTGTTCGGAGACTGAAACTGATCCAGAATGCAGCCGCGCGAGCGATATTAGGTGTGCCAAGNGTGCCTGAATCTAATGAAAATGGGGAAGATCATGGAAAAATAAACAGAAGACAAAACTTGCAGTTTCGCATAAAGTCAGGATGCTATTTTGTATAATCTGTGAAACAAGCACAGGTTTCATGAGGTGAACATATATTCATAATATTTCTGAGCAAAATATTGTATATTACAAGATTATTTTTCCAAGTCCAGCATATATGGCATATGGCTTTTGTATGCTGCTTTGATGCCAGATTAGTTTTTTTTATTCCTCCTGTAAAATTATGAAATAAAGTTCTAAGATTAGGTATTTTCCTTAGCTAGTATAAAATGAGTACTGACGTATGTAAACATGAGTATAGTCGTTCCAAGGAGTGCAGTGAAGTGAAATACTTTTTTCCAAAGGGATGGCTTGATATGTTTTGAAGAATTGTCTATGATCCGAGTCTTCAAGGGCTTGAGAACACGGTCCCACTGGGTCAGAATTGTACTTCTAGCTTTCTCCCACTTCCCAGGCCCACAGAGGCGATACTGGTAGGAGGTACAAGGACCAAAGAAGACTTTCAAAGCTAGTTTGGGGTCCTGTAGTAAAAGTAATGACACATTGGGCTTAACCCCTATGCAAACAGCAATTTCATCCATGTAGCGAACAAATATTTCCTTTTCTTTCTCTGTGTTGGAAGTACCCCTGGAGCAGAAGACAAATGGAAATAATAATCAGTATTCTGTAGCTATAGATGGAGAGAAAGATATGGGACTTGTGGGGCAATTGCTATGCCATGTGTTGGAGACAGCCTGGTCTGTCAGGTGAGGAATTAGTCTGGAATCTTTACATGGGCACCATGTAGAAGGCAAAGGGCACCACCCCTCTCTGAATGCCTGTGAACATTATGTAGTCTGGCTCAAGTGCAAAGCATTAGTCTGGGAGATTGCTGGGAAATAGGTATGAGCAATGAAGTAGCTAACTGAACTCTTCATGTGCAGATCTGTTGTTCATGCTTGATACCACACTGCCTTTGGCACTGGGAACTGTAGTTCAGCAACATGCAGAGGAACATTTATTGTGAACTTTGATGCGATAAGTTTGACTGAAAGAAGTCATTCTAGATCCAGGCATTAGTGAAAGCCAGAGAGTTGTGAACGTGGAATTTGTTCAAATAAAATAGCAGCAAATGACAAAATACATAGTAGGATATAGTAGAGAACAAATTAAAGATGCTATATAGCAAATTTAATTCAGTTTAAATGTACATGAAATTAAATGAAATGTCCTTGACCAGATTCATATCCTTTGGGAGTAGAACTTTGTGCATACAATTTACAGTCCAATATCATAATGAATAAAACCTCTATCCCTGCATTAAGCCATGGCATATTGAGTAATAGTTTGACTTTACTTTTTGAAACTAAAAAGAAACCTGCAATATCCGAAACATCAGAAACCATAGAAATGTTTGAAATACAGAAAGGTTGCTTCCTCTGAAGTTAAATGTGACCCATTCATTTGTAGATCAGTTGAATGTATGTCACAGCAAATTATCTTTCACCCAGAGCAGTAAATTGCTCAGATCTCCTCATATTTTGCCTTGTCCCTGGGGTCTGTTTACCTCTCTCTTCTCTAGCACAAGAAAAACTCAGTAGCAGTGGTGGGTTTCAAATTTTTTTCGAACCTACTCTGTGGGTGTGGCCTCCTTTGTGGGAGTGGCTTGCTGGCCATGTGACCTGGTGGGAGTGGCTTGCCGGCCATGTGTTTTCTCTCTCTCTCTCTCTCTCTCCTTCCTTCCTTTTGTCTCTCTGTCCCTTTTTCTTTTTTTCCTTTCATCTCTCTCTCACTTTTTCTTTCTTTTTTTCTTTTTTTCTTTTTTTCTTTTTTTCTTTTTTTCT